GATGACATGTGTTAACTGTGCTATACAAATAAAATTGACTTGACTTGACATCAACTCCACAAACCTGCAAAAAAAGAGGTATTTTAAATGCCCTTTTGGGACACCTTAAACCTTACAAAAGGATTAACAAAAATACTGCGTGTTCACTGTTCATTGTTTTTGATGTAAAATATAGAAAATCAGTGTATTGTTGCACAAAAAGGATGAACACAGATGAGTATCAAACCCCTTTAATCTTATACATGTATCCAGTTCTTAAAACATACAGCTTCTTTAGCCTGGGTACACTGAACCGTCAGTGATGATAAACTCACTGTTAAGGAAGTATTGTCACTTACACTTCAGAAACTGAATGAGCTGTGGTGGCCTAGCATAGTGAATGCATCTTCAACATGTGGGTAGAATATGCTGGGGAGCTCCCAGACACTCACTGTCTGTGATCCAGCCCACGACGACATCCCTGCAACCTCCATAGAGACTTCAGATCCCACTGTAGGGTTTGTACTGATTCACATACACGTAGTGGCCTTCGTCTCACTGGAAGTATGATGAATTTGATCCTCCCCTCAAGCTCAGAAAAAAACTGTAATGAGTACTTACCATCTTTTAAATTTCATTTCATAGATTCCTTATTGGAAGACTAACAAGAGCTAAACATTATCGACAGGCAAGGTACTACACAGCACTTACTCAGTGCTTATAGCCAGAAGCTATCCTCTGTTCTAGTTACACAGTGGTCCAGTTGTTCAGGTTAAACAGGGATGAGAATCTTTGGCCATGTCACGATTCGATCCAGAATTGGTTGTTTGAAGTAACTATATATCAGGTTTTAGCTGTTAGCATTGCATTTTGTTGCTCCACTATATTGCTTGGTTGTGGGGTACAGAGAATTCACCAAATACTTCATATTTTTATCTTGCAAAGCTACTTATTCAATCCAAAAGGCACCCAAATGTTTGCCCTTTCTCAACATGAACTTCAGAATATTTTAAATATGTGTGCACTGTGTCCTTGCAGTCAAATTCCAACATTTCATTCTGTCAAAACAACACAATTAACTGGAACTACAAACCTATTTTTGGCATTTCTAAATCACAGAAGATAAGATTTGACTTTTTTCCCCCACTCACCTTTAATAATTAGATTATTATTTTCAAATATTTAATGGAGCTAGTTGATTTTGAGAGAACACCAAAGTGCATCAAATTAGGAATGGACCAATGTGTTTCTTTCAGTATAAGTTGACCAAATACCAAAACCAAAAAAAAAGTAGGCAAGTATTGATCGCTATAAAATTGGAGCCAAAATAATGGAATGAATTTTCAGCTATTTTATTCACTGTTTCATGGGCCAAACAATTTTTAAAAAAAAAAAGAAAAAAGAAAACCTGCAGTTTAATCAGTCATGAAAAACACTACTTTTCATTCAGCTGCAACTTTGTGTCTCTCTTTGTATATTCAGGAAAAAATGAAGAACTATTACACTCATACAGCAGGGTTGTGAGTCGTGGCAATGCATTGTATTCCATGTAAAACAATGACTTGGACAATGTAATGCAATTAACTGTGCAAATGAACACCTAAATTGTGTGAGCTGAGTATAGTGGTATGTAGTTTACCATACTGAGTATTACCTAATTTAAAAATAGCCTTATTGGAAACATTGCCAAGTGTTGGCCAGTAAAGAGACAACTATCTCAGCAGTGAGGGAATTAAAACATCTCTTTGTAGAATTCATTCAGTATAACTGTATTCAAAGCACCAGCACAATCGTTATTTGGAATAGAGGGTCAACGCCTGCTGCTGAGTTCACCACACCTTAAGGCTATACGTAAAAACATGGATTTAAAATGAATAATGTCGTTTATTTTACCGTAAACAGTGACTCACAAGCGTATCTTCCCAACACAGAGAGGTCATTGTCAAGAATTCACTGCAGAACATTTTTCCACGTTGCAGTACAAAACTATGATTTTGTAGTTATGGGTAAATACACTTTATAAAACATATTCTCAGGTCTGTCATGTGTGGCTATAAAGACATCTTTGTATATTTGTGAAAAACTGACACATTGGTCTTTGGTTCCACTCTAAAGTGCAGTTTCTGTGGTGCAGCAGTGAAGTAGCTCAGAGGTTCACGGGCAAGTTTTTATTCTCCATGGCATCAGCGAGACAAAGTTTATAGTTGCTGTTTTAAAATACAGTCTCCCTGTGTCTCCTCCAATTCCACACTCTTGTCCTGTTGTGTCTCTGTGTAGAAAAAGCCTGAACTGCTCTCTAACTTTGCCAAAAGAGAAGAAAAGAGACAAATACGGCGAGAGCCACCAAAAGGTGTTTCTGGCTGTCTCTGTGCCGTCCAGTGCAGTCATTGTGGCGCAGCAGAGGCCTGTCTGTGTCGTCTCCTTGGCTGTGGTCAGATGGCTGGCTGCTCGAGGAGCACTGGACCAGAGGCATCTGGTAGGAGGTGGCCCGCTTCTCTGGCCGGTCCGGGCTGGAGCCATCGCTGGGACGCTGGCCGTTATACAGTAGGTAGCGGCCATGGGCGTCCTGCTCCATGCGGAAGACCTCATACTCTGTATGGGGCAGCCGGATGCCCAGTGCCACACAGCCATTGGTCAAGGTCACATCCTGCTCCACCCCGACCTGCCAGGACCCCTGTGCCCCACACTCATTACCGTTGAAGACGTTGAGGAGGGAGGTGGTCGCCAAGTCCATGGGAGTCACTCTCATGTGGTTCACTGGAGAAGGAAAAACCAAGAAAACTGTTGGATTCTTTAAGATCAATGTCCCCTGAAAAAAATCCTTGGGTGCAACAGACACTGAACTTACAGCTGGATTAGGCTTGTTGTTACAACTTGGGTCTTATTTGTGTCCTTTTAATTACCATTCCTACTGGTTATGATAACACTGTGCTCAGTATATTAACTTACATGATGTGAGAGCACAGGGGAAACACAGTAAGTTAACCAGTAAATAGGCCAGCAGTTTACCCGTTTCATTGTAACTTTGCTTAAGTGGTCCAGAAGAAGGCAACAGACTTCTTTCTTGTTTTCAAGAAAGGTTCATATTATCACCCCTAACTCACGTGACTCACAGTGTGAATTGTGGTGAAACTGTCAGAGGAGGGATGTCAGGAATGCATTTTAGGTGGATTTTACACAGGCGTCCTATCCTGGTTAGAGAGGGTTGTTTCAGTTTAACATAGATTTCTTCCTTCACTCCTCTCTCAAACCATCTGTCTTTTCTGTCTAGAATGTCAACAGTGCTGTCCTTAATGGAGGGTCCCTTCTCCTTTAAATACAGGTGGACTGCTGAGTAGCTACCTGTCCAGTTGTTGTGCCATGTGTTCTTTAGTCCCCCCCACTCAGCTTCTGTTTTATAATCAGGGTGAACCAGTGAAGGGCAGCAAGACGCTGTGTTTGGAGAAAGTCTCTCAAAGTTTCTCAGACAGTCCAGCTACATCCAAGATGACAATGTTGGTACACATGTTCCCCTTTTCTTCTCTTGTTAATGTGTTTTTTTTCCCAGATATTGTATCTGACTTAATGAACAGTTAATGACAGAAGTGTGTTCTTAAAATGTATGTGCTCCTTTTCTTTCTCCTCTCTCTTGGTAGGGATCTTCTCAGTTTGGTGCTGTAAGATTCTGATGACCTCCAGTGAATGTTCCAGTGGGTAGTGGGAGTCCAACAGTAGGCATTGAGCGATGTGTGTAGGTCTCTGTAACCTTAAATATTGGGGCTTCCATCCTCCTCATCATGCACAGCACAGCCCAAAAAAGGCAGCTTTTTTACCCGGGTCTTCCCCCTGAGAACCTGATGTTGCTGTTCACCAAACTGGGGGTCATCAGAACCTTACAGCACCAAAATGTAGAATGAACAAAGCTGCATCCGCAGTCCACCTATCAGCAAGCGCACACAGACGTGGAAAGCATGACTTTGGCATAAGGGATATTCATTTTAGGACAGCAACGTTGAATTTGTGGACAAAGACAACAGATGCTCTGAGAGAGGAATGAAGGAAGAAATCTAAAATAAACTGCAACAACCATCTTGAAACAGTGGAGAAGGTCAACAGCACATACAGTGACGTCCCCTCCGAGGCTGTATCACAGCCCCAGTGACACATGTGAGTTGGGGGTTATAATAAATACCTGAGACTCCCACCAGTTAGTCAGAACTGAAAGAGCCTTTTGGATGAGAGGTAAAATGTCTTCAAGAACCAAAAAAATCCAACAACAACAAAGAGGATCTGCCTACGTGAGGGCTGTACTACATGGTAAGTTTGACATAGCCAGGCTTTCTTTGTACAAGTCAGCTTGACAAAAACTTCAGTCCCAGACAGAGATAACAGGTTTCATGAAGGTAGATAAAACACATTCCTCAGCTGAGAATCTGTATCGCTCATAGAGAACCATCAGAAAAAAGCCTGGATAAAGGCAGATGATTCTTACAGCTGATTTAAATCTAAAACTCTGGTATCCTGCTCAGGTTAGTTCCACAGCATCAGTTACCATGGAGATCTAGCAAGTTAAATAGAGCCACCTTCTTGACACTGAAAATTCCGACTTCAGGCTCAACATATCTTGTTAACCCACTACTCTTGCTTCATAGTACAGCTCCAAAGCTCACTTATAAACATGCTATATTTTGTTTCCTGCCATAGTTACCATTCTCCTGACTCCAGCTTTAGTGATCAATCTTCTCATCTAACACTTAACCTAGCAAGAAACATAACAACTGTATTTCCCAAAATATTGAACAGTTCCTGTAAGAAGCATTTGTATTACCAGAATACAGGTAAACAGATCGTAAATAAGAGAGAATTACCTTTGAAGACAAAATCGGTGCCACCCATGACGCGCGTGGAGTGAAGCCCTCGGCTGTAGCGTCCGCGGGCGTAAATGGTGAAGGTGGGGTGTTTGCAGACAGGGTCAGAGTAGTGGTAGTAGTGGCCTTCCCAGGTGTGGTTGTTGTCATGGAAGATGAAGTGGCGGGTGAGGAAGAGGACCTCAGGGCGAACTTCGCAGCGCTGGCTCACCCACTGACCGTACAGGCCGACGGTCAGGTCGGCGCGCGGCGGCAGGATGGGAGGGTGGAACTCGTCCGAGCGGTAGATGATGCGACAGGCAATGCAGCCGTGGTCGTGGTTCTGACAATAGAAAAGGGCCAGAAGAATATGTCCAGTTAACATGGCTGGGGAAAAAACAAACACCAAAACTGAATGTAACTACAAAACCTGTTTGAGCTTCATTTTAGCTTACAGAAACAATTTAAAGAAAGTCAATTTACAACAACAACCCCCCAAAAAATTAAGTCATTGTTAAATCAAGAGTTTCAACAAACTGTGATGGTCCTTTTGCTGTATTAGCTTCTAAAGAGTGTGATGAATTATCACACACAAGCTACACCAAAAACCCACCTTTGTATTATTTTACTTTCTATATTATTTTGTCCTCCTTTACTTTATAATTCACTTTAACATTTTGTTACACTTTCTTTCTTTATCTTTTATTAAACACTTTGTAACTTTGTAACCACTATTGTTTTTTGTTTGTTTCTCAAGGAAGGAAATCAGTGAGACACAACGCTTTTAAACTCCACAGAGCCTATTTTGTGATAAGCATACAGTATGTACAGAGCAGGATTTTCCAGTGAAAGATTACCTTGTCAGTGCCATCTGCTGAACAAAGCATGCAACGCCAACACTTTGTCCTACTTTATCTACTCATAAGGCAGAAACTGCCTCTACTAATTTGTACATGTGAGATCACAAAAACCAACAAGACCTGAAAATTCAGTTCCGAACCCTTCATATGATGAAATCAATAAGCTGTCGAGGCTGTAAACTGTTCACAAACTTAAGGTTCAAGCTGCCACTGAACATCACTGAGAGGCACGTGCTATGAAATCTGTCAGTGCTGAGAGCTCTCTAATCCATCACCAGTACAACATATCATGAAATTCTCTTAGAGTACGGCTAGCCTGTGTCCAGAGGTAAAGGAGAAAAATTGTTTCCTTCAGTGAGAACCTCTTCAGTTTTGGCGCACAGTTCTCACAGTGAATGCATCATTTTACAGTAAAAGACAGATGTGTGAACCAACAAATACCATGATACAGTGAACGTTGAGGTGTGTTTTAATTTTTAATCCTAATATTGACAAAAAAGGTTTTGTAAATCCATAAATCACCATCAGATTTGGTTCATGTCATGTCTGGTTTAATGCAGCAGCATGTTGTTATAGCGTCCACAGACTGGACAGCTGTGGCTCTCTGAAGAAAAGATTTGGGATCCTGACGGAGTCTGAGCTGGAAGCCTTCAGGCTGTATTTAGCACCATCCAAAGACTAAACTCTAGGGAGGTGATTGGAGTTTTTGTTATTTGAGGGTGGTCAGAATTTAAGACCTAAACTCCTCAACTCAATCACTATTTTTTTCATCCGACAACATTATGTCTTCATGAGATTTATGTGGAGTGAAGAAAATAAATGAGAATGGTAAAAGAAAGAGAAAAACAGAAGTATTACTACATCCTGCAGATGAGATAATCCCAGTGCAGCTCCATAAACACCTCAGAGTGAGAGGTTAATGGACCAACTGGAAGGGAGGGAGGCCTCCTGTGAATCCAGCGCTGTATGGATGTGAGAGCAGAGGGGCTCACAGTAATAAGTGAAGGAGGACTTTGATGGAAGAACAGTGTGTGAGTGCATGATCACTCACATTGTTGCTATTGAATGCGTTCAGTGAACTTCACAGCACAGAAGCACTGGGATATAATATGCCTTTTTGTACTTTTTTTTTTGGATCTAAATGATTCGTTTTATGTTCAAGGCATTAATGATACTGACTTTTGGAGTGACTTCAGACAAAGCATATTACACTCTGGTATGCTTATACATGATTTTTATTTTTCCTTTTGGTTACACAATGCTCCTGTTATTTAAATAATAATCCAGCCATCCATCCATTATCTATACACCACTCAATCCTCATTAGGGTAAATAATAACAAGATTATTTAAATAACACACAAAGGCGAAGAAGTGAAGGATCATCTGTCAGCTTGCATAGAAATAACAACAATTAAGAGCAGCACTGTACAGTACACTAGACTTCTAGACTTTCTCACTAAAACTGTAAAATTATGTAGCTGGTTGCAAATAAAGAAACTTATGAATCATACTTTTATAGCAGATTTTTTTTTTCTCTTTTTTTTCCTTTTCAAGTGATGTAATATTTTACAAAAACTGTTTTGGTCAAATCTATGTACCCTTCATTTCCCTCGTCATCATCTGATATTTTCAAGTTTTGTTTCACTGTAAAAAGATGTGCGTACATAATTGCTGAACCTATGACCTTTCCAGAACATAACCAAGGAGAACACTGGCAGATCCTGATCATTTGGTAAGCCAGATGGGAGAGGTGACTACATGTACGTAGGAAACACAGTCCCAAACAGAAGCCCACCGTTCACCACCCACCACCAGTTCACGTTTCCAACCGTTTTCCTCCCTTAGCAACACACCTGCTGATAAACACACTCTGGTAATTGGCAGCTCCAGAGTCAGAAATGTGAAGGTAGAGACCCCAGTGAGCATAGTCAAATGCGTTCTTGGGCCAGAGTGGGCGACATTGAATCTTATTTGAAACTAGTAGCGAAGGATAATCGTCAATATAGTAAGATTGTAATTTTCGGCTGCAGTAATGACATCTGGTTGAGGCAATCGAAGGTCACTAAAATTAATATGGAATCAGTGTGTAAATTTGCCAAAACAATGTCGGACTCCATAGTTTTCTCTGGACCCCTGATCAATGTGATCAGTGATGACGTGCAGCTGCAGAAAACAGTATGGGCTACATAGATAAAACCGGTCTTATTAGGAGAGACAGCATACATCCTGTTTTAGATGTTGTGGCTCTCACATGTGGAATATGGACAAGTGTATTGGAAAACCAAACCCCTAACAGTCCAGAGGTGAGACCAGACAGCAGAGTTGAAGTCTTACATGCTTCTCTGCTGCTTCTCTATAGTTGTCACTCCCCCAGTGTCCTATAGAGACTGTGATTGACTGAAACCCGACTGCAACATGAAGAATATGTTAATCCAACTGAATCGATGCCGCCCTCTTCATATTAATGCTCATATATCTAGAAGTACTGACAGAGGGGGAAGAGAGGCAGCAGTCTTCTACTAAAACTTATTAATCAACCAAAGACCAAAACTTTGCTATAATTCGTTTGAGAGTCTTACACACTTGAAATGGAAAACACAAAAACTGTTTAGCTAGTTGTTGTATATTGACCGCCTGCAGCTTACTTTGAGTTTTTATCCGAATTCTCAGAGCTCTTAGCTGACTTAGTGCTCAGTACAGATAAAGTCATTGTAGTGGGTGACGTTAATATCCATGCAGATGATGAGAACGACAGCCTCAACTCTGCATTTAGCTCGTTGTTACTCAGTTGGTTTTTCCTAGAATGTAAATAAACCAACTTACAATTTTAATCACACACTTGTTCTTGTTCTGACATATGGCGTACAAATGTACAATGTAAATATAAATGTACAATCTACAATCTTTTAGTCATAAGTGTTTATTCATGTATTTGTATTTGGAGGCTGTTGTAGAAAGAGAATGACTAACA